ATGTAGAATAGAATTTAAAATCCTCCTCCTCACCTACAAAGCTCTTCATGGTCAGGCCCCTTCATATCTTAAAGAGCTCATAGTACCCTATTATCCCTCTAGAACACTACGCTATATAAATAAAATTGAATTGAATTGAATTGAACAAACTTACAAACATACATACAGTTATGGCACCGACCAAAGTATTGGTACCTAGAGCTCTGTATTTGCAAGAATCTGGCAATATTATACGTATCACGACACAGGGTTATGCTTCAATATATTGTGATATATTGCAGTTCACTAAGCAAGGTGATATATTGTGACTGTGGCGCAGAGGCAGAGCGGGTCATCCCCTAATCGGAAGGTTGTTGCTTCGATCCCTGGCACCTCCCGCCATGTGTCAAAGTATCCTTGAGCAAGATACTGAACCCCAAATTGCTCCTGATGCTCTTCATCGGTGTGTGAATGTGTATGAATGAGTTAGCTTCTGTTCGATGGACTTTGCCATCACTGAGTGAATGTGTGTGAAAGGGTGAATGTGCCATGTGCGCCTTGAGTGGTCGGAAGACGCTGTACAAGCACAGGTCCATTTACCATTTACTTCTTTTTTAAAATCAAATTGTAGGAAAAGTGATAATCCGAAGAACACACTCACCATATGCATAAAACCTGAGTAATAAAAAGTGAACTTTTATGCAACCAGAACAGTGGGATCTGCAACATCATAGCTCTCAGTTTACATTTACAACACTGCTATCTAGAGGTTGGGGGTTTAAACACAAATATTGATGCAGTGTTTTTGAGAGTTGATACAATATCACAAAACAAAAATATTGCAAAACGATATTTTCTGATATTTACCCGTATTGAAACATTATCAATGATACCCAGCCCTACACTCAACAGTATGTCATGATGTTTGTTTAATTTTTCTAGTTAAGGATGGCAATTTTTAGCCAGGCTAGTTGCAAAGGCTAGCATTATCAGTGTTTCCCTCTGAGGCATCTGTTTGTAAGGAGGAAGCAAGGCAGTGGACATTTTGTGACAGGCGCAGATAGCTTTTTTACAGATATTTTCAAATCTAACTCTGAATTAAGGGTTTGTATTCTTGTATTCCCGTATTTTGTTTTGCTTCATCTTATTACTGAAGGCAGTATACCCTCAGCCTGACATGCACACACAGATAACAGTGTCCCCAAATCCCCAAGGGTTAAACATTTTAAATTGACTTTATAATAAACGATTTCTGTTTCTCAGTTTTTTCAAGATTACTTGCCCCCGGCACTTTCAGAGAAGTTTGGCTTCTTTTGGAAAGTGTATTTCCAGATATCCACAAAACAGCTTAAATCCAAAATTAACATCAAAATGTATGGCTGTCAATGGGTGAAGATTTTTGTATTGCTTGTTTCATTTGCAGATATTGTCCTCGGTGCAGGCAGCTGGAGGCTGGTAGAACACAGGAAATACATATCGGTGCTGTCAGAAGCTTTGACTGTGACTCCATTAGACCTGCAGTTAGTGCAGTGTTCAACATTACCACAGCTATGTATGAAGTAGAGAGGGAGAGGCAATTGCTTTATGTGTCTTTTGACTTCAATTCAATTCAGTTTTCAATTTTATTTGTATCGCGCCAATTCATAACAGGAGTTATCTCAGGACACTTTTCAAATAGAGCAGGTCTAGACCGAACTCTTTATAACATTATTTACAGAGACCCAACAGTACCACCATGAGCAAGACCTTGGCAACGGGGGCAAGGAAAAACTGCCTGTTAAGAGGCAGAAACCTCGGACAGACCCTCCGGCTAGAATAATATTATGGACAGTGGTGTCAAATGCGGCACTAAGATCTAATAATATAGGTACAGAGACAAGTCCATAGTACACAGACTAGTCCATGCTGATCATCTTTTGTTTGGACATGAATTTCTCCATCTAATGTGACTGCAGCTATGTGGGTGTGGAGTGTTGCCGTGTTTTCAAGAAAAATGTGTGTTTTTGGCTGGCTGACTTCTCCATAACCATGGTTTCACTGTTTGTTATGACTGTCCACTGCCATGTTGCTGTCCAGCATCTCTGAGCAACACATACACACACAGACACACCGACATGGACACACTGATGCAACAGCAAAAACTTTGACTGGAAGTATTTATCACCCTTATATGTGTGTGTGTGTGTGTGTGTGTGTTTGTTCAGCCGATGGTCTCTAATTTGTTAAGCCTGATTAGTCTAGTGAGAATGATCAATATATTCACTTTACGATGTGCACACTGCTCAGAGCACTGATTAAAGCTTATTGTTATGCTGCTTTGAACAAATGAACCTCTACAGTTTAACTCTAGTACTGCATGTTGCAGGTCCCAGGGTTCTCATTTTGAAATGAGTTGGATGTAAAACATTAAAAGTTAAATGGAAACAGCGTTTTCAACCAACTCATTGAGCTAATGCTAGCTTAAATAGCTTACTAGGTATAGCTGATACATCTCTCAGCATCAGTTTTTATTTCAGCTGCCACAATTGACCTGCTCAAGATGAAAATCTGACTTTTGTCTGAAATTGTGTGTGAATTCACGTACCCATTGTTTAAAAAAATTACTACAAACTGTTAGCTTAGCAAACAGTAAATTCATCAAGTGGGATGCATCTTGGGAAATGTCAGCTTGAGGCAAGGTGCATGTAAAGAGAAAATTGTATTCAAGGTGGATTTTTCTGATCAGGCGCTCTGGGTGGAAAGTCTTTCTCACAAAGGTCTGTCTCGAAGACACTGTCAGATTAACTGAGGGGATTTTTGTCCTGTTCCATGGGGTGTGTCTATTTACCTGTCACATAATATGACCAGGGGTCGGGTCTGACAGAGTCAAAAGGCCATGGTTTACGGCTACTGGACAGATGTAGAAGGCCGTGAACAAAGAAAAGTGTGTGTGTGAGGACATGCTCGTTTTTGGGAAGAACCCAGTCATTGTATGAAGCTTATGATTGATATCTTGATTGTTATTTTATTTTTTTTAATTGTTCTATCCTCGTCTCTTTCCTTTCTCTTAAAACGTTTCATGTCAGTTTCTCTGACCTCTTTTAACTTGGCCATGCCATTAATGCATGTTAGTGGATGCATATCAGGTTGTATCTGCACACAGAGGGTGTAGATAGTGCCTCTGAAAGCTCTTGGTCCATGTGTGTGTATGTGAGTGTGTGTGTGAGTGAATCCCTGCATTTAGCGGCCAGAAATAGTCTGTTAGGAAATCAATGTTCCTCTCCCAGTGGCGCTGGGAGCTGTCTCCTCCACAATAGAGGGACTGTCCTGTTTCCTGCACCCTAGAGGGAGAGTGTGTGTGTGTGTGTGTGTGTGTGTGTGTGTGTGTGTGTGTGTGTGTGTGTGTGTGTGTGTGTGTGTGTGTGTGTGTGTGTGTGCGTGCATGTGTGTGTAGAAAGTGAAAGTGGAAACAGAGAGAACAGGCTCATCCAGCCTCAGTTCTGCATCAGCTCACATTAGACATAAAAACAAAGGGGAGAAAATGAAAAATAATGTGGGTGAAAGTAGGAGAAGGTTGTGTTTATGTGTGTTAACAATGAATATGACTTCGACCAAATGTCTTCCCCCGCCTGTAAATAAGTCACTATAGAAGCTGTGTAGGTGTTAATAGACGTTAGTGTCTTTAATTAGCAACATTAGAATTTCATAACAAGAGGCCAAAGTGATGCACTGAAGTAACAAAACCATCCTCTGAAGCACACGTGTAGTTTTAGTAACACTTTATTTGATAACTTTAATTAACATTTAGGAGGATCTATTGTCAGTAATGGAATATTATATTCATAGGTAGGTTTTCATTAGTATATAATCACCTCAATATAGGAATTGTTGTGTTTTTCTTAGAATGAGAGGTTTTTACTTATAGACACCGTAGGTCGCTTTCCATGGAGTCTGCCATGTTGAACCGCCATGTTTCTACGGTAACCCAGAAGGGACCAGGGTTATTATAGTTAACTAAAATTAAACTAAAAACTAAAACTAGATCTAAAAGAAAACATTTTAGTTAACTGAATTAAATAAAAACCTATACTTTGGAAAAAAACAGACTGAAACGATAGTGTGTATTTTATTTTTAGTCTTTGCATTGGTGCATTATTATCATTCTTATTAGTAGTATTTATTGAGACTGGCATGTCTACATGACTGTGAGTCAATGTGTTTGTATTGTAATACATATTCAGAATGTCTTCAGACAAATACTCCCCATATTGTAATAAAAAAAACTAACAAAAAAAGATCTAAAACTACACATTTTTAAACAGTAAAAACTAAACTGAAATGAGAAAACCCACTCAGGAAACTATAGTGAATTGAAAACAAAAATTAAAAACAAAATAGAAATAAAAAACAAATGAAAAATACAAATCTCTCAAAGGGACAAATCAAACTCTGGTTCTAGATAAGAGTTTTTTCATGCGCTTTGCAGCCACCATAGATTCTCCTTCGTGCTTGGAAGGAGAGGGTGAAGTGATGGAGCTGTGATCAATGCCACTTAATCCTACACACTGGACCTTTAAAAAAGTATAAAGCACAAATAAGGCAGTTGCAAATTTTTATGATATTTGCATATGGGTAGATTGTGTTTGTGAATTCTGCATTCATACTGTATACTTCACTCCAGATGAACCACACACAGAGTAGCAAGCATGCTCTGAGTGATGTAAATATTCAGGATGAGAGACAGATATTATCACCATGGGGGCCTGTACTTGAGGAAATTCTTTCCTGCAGACAGCAGGCAAGGAAATATGACGACAATATGTCTCATAATAAATGAAGAGGTCTTCCATTCTGGAAAAGTGAAAAATCTTGGTTCTTTGGCTTGAAATGGAATATAAACAACATCCCATATCTGACGATGTTGTACACATTAAACACAACAACAATATTGCTGTGCTATATCATAAAAAGGCATCAACTGGCGATTATTATCATTTACTGGCTGCAAAAATCAATTAATGCTCCACTTTGTTGTTTTTCAGAGCTCCTCGGTTCTGCAAAGAAAGTGAATGTCAACTTCCAGGATACAGATGGGTGAGTTACTCTCCCTCACTCCTCCCATTTACATCACATCAGTTTTCATTATTGTTCACTTTTCCTCCACTCTCTCAATTCCCTCTGCCATTCTCACTCACTCCCCACCTCCTTCCCCCTATCCTTTTTAATATCCATCCTCCTCCCACTCCTCCCCTGCTCCCATTCATATAAAAGCTGTATTATTGTGGTAGTTTCACTTGTGTCTCTATAGCATTAAAAGCTTGAGGATTAGCCCCGATACCACTCAGTGTAAGTCCAGACTAGAATGGTGTATTTATGTGTGTGTGTGTGTGTGTGTGTGTGTGTGTGTGTGTGTGTGTGTGTGTGTGTGTGTGTGTGTGTGTGTGTGTGTATGTGTGTGTGACACAGAAAGAGTATTAATGTCATTAAAAGCCTTGCATGTGTGCATATATAATATGTAGGTAGATGTGTGCCTACATAACAACAATAATTTAACAAATTTCCCCCCAGGGATCAATAAAGTATTTCTGATTCTGATTTCTGATTCTGATTACATGGGCACTTGTTCGTGAGTTAAAACTGCACTAGGTCATTTTTATAAAAATAACTTTTTGCTATCCTGACAGTAGAACATGAACATTAAACAATCTGGTTCCTCTGGCTCCTCCTAGCTCTCCTAATGGAAGAATCTAGAAGTAGTAGAGGAATCCACCGGGCCTAAACTAAAACAACCAATCACAGCTGAGAAAGATAGAAAGACGCTTTGGGTTGGGGGCTTGAAGATAGTTGATTGTTTAGTCACATTTCCAGCATTAATATTTAATGCCCTGGGAATGAAACTTAATAATCAACTATCTTTCTTGGCGCTGATTGGTTGTTTTTGTCTAGGCCCAGTGGTTTCTTGCCAAAGCCATTAGGAGCACTAGGAGGAGCTCATGTTCTACTGTCAGGATATAATGAAAGTTTCAGCAAATATGAGAAAAAAATGTTTTTATGAAAGTTACCTACTGCAGCTTTTACTGCTTTAAACAAGCAAAACAATAATATACGTAACATGAGATGGAGAACCACGGCCCAGAGCAATCTGGTTTCACTGTGTGACAGAGCATTCAGAGAGACTGAGCAATTCTCCGGCCTGCAGACCCTGCAGACAAAACGTGTCTACTAATTTCAGACAGAATGGGGAGCAGAAACAAAACCGGTTTACAGTGTAAAATCAGATCATTTGTTCGGATGTGGTCTGCCGCTGATGGGATTTAACAGTGAAAGCTAATAAAATGGGTGACAAATAAAAGGAAAAGGCTGCATAAATGAGGGAAGAAACGTAGCAAACCCTGATGTTTCCATACAGGACATAACACGACCACACTGTGTGGTTTAATGTGTATGAAAATGATGTGAATCAGTGCTATGATATATATAGCTAGTAGTACCCAGTACTTTTGTGAGTGAGGCAGTACACAAGTTGTAGCTGATATGATGTCGGTGTTCAACCAGTCAGGGATGTTCAATCCTACAAACTTCCTAAGGCCCTAATGTTCTTGAACTGTCAAATGGTACTACCTCAGAGATGGGACTTATTTTACACCTGGACCTAAAGTTAAAAAACTAAATTTGAAAAAAACAGATTTTTTCACAGATTATCTGTCTTTTCCTTTATATCCTTTGTACTTTTTTTTTGCCAGAATGGGAGTAAAATAGGTGTTAAATTACATTCAAAATGGTCTTAAAAAGTCTTAAATTTAACCCGTTGAAACCTGCAGAAACCCTGTTTCATTTCCAGTGTAGTAGTTTCTTTGTTGGTATTGTTTGTATTTTACAAGCATTATGCAGCTCACTTATGATCGATGCTGGAACAGATCCTTTGTGGCTGTACTCCATTCATTTTAATTACTGTTGACAGCATGTTGTATTGTTTGTACCTGCGTTTCTCGAATAGTGCCTGTTAGTGGAAGGAGATTCCTCACAGTACCTGTTTATCCATTATACAAGACTGTCTGCAGAGTGCAGCAGGAAGCAACGCAAGGTAGAAATGCAAATTCCTGCAACCGTGAGTCACACCAGCTTCAGCCCTTGTGAGAGTCATTTAAACTGAGCTAAAAGACTGCAAACCGCACCTAATAAAGTGGTTTCTGTAAAGATAAAGATCAAAAGTAATCCTGGCAGCACTGCTTTGCCACTCTTAGTGAAACTGAGCGGTGTAATCTAATTAGTGTGTTGACTGTTATTGCCCCTTCATTCCTCCCACAGTATTAAGTGCTCCATATTACTAACGTGGCTGTGTGCGAATAAGTCCTAAATAAAGTTTATGACAGAAATGCAAGGATCGAGTTGAATTAAATTTTATAATGAGCGCACATGGATAATGAGACTGCACAAGAATTCATTTTAGATTAATTTACTCTTCTTGGCAGTCGCTTGGAGACTCATAATGAACTCACTCTGTTAAAAAAAAGCTGTTAATTGGGATCTTTCACTATAGATGTTGCTCATCCTGCTGTGTGTGTATTAAATAACATCCCCTAAGTGGCGTTGATCAGCTGGTGTTACACCGTCATTAAAAACCTTTAAACCAATGCTGGTCAGCATTTTTGTTATTAAGATGATTATGTAACAGAGTAGGAGCAAAGTGTAGAGATGGAGAGAAATGAGCAGAAAGAGATAGAGTTTGTTACATACAGACTCACAGGAGACCAGACAACAACAGAGCACTCAGATCCCTCTTTATAAACCCAGACAGGGAGATCCCCACTGAGACCTGAGAGTACATTACAAGAGAGCTCCACTGCGATTATATATGCACTGTATGTGAGTGTGTGTGTACAGGTGTAGAGGTTTACAATGTGCAGACAGGAAGACCTGGAAAAGAATAAGACATGAAGAACGCCTACCCACGCATACCTGTGCCAGGCCAGCACATTCTATTACTGTATATATACTGAACAGTATAAACATAGAGACAGACAGCATGTATACAGTACCACACATACAGAAAGCAGTGCAAATTCACATATTTATACAATAATATATAAAAGGAAGCAGGGTAGGTATAGGTAACTAAAATTGAACAAAAACTATTAACTGAAATAAAATAAAAACTAGAGTAAATAAAAACTTAAAAATGATCTTATTGGTTGGCTGGTTTTTATGCTCGGTGATTCTCTGCCTTTTCAAGTTAAAGAGGAAATAATGAGACTATCAGAACTTCTTGAATAAAAAGTGGCTCTGCGCTCAGTGATTGTTGCCTTGAAGGCAAATAAGACTGAAATTAGTAAGTGAGTCATCTTAACGCTTCTGAAATATTTTTTGGACAATATGGCTGTCATAAAAGAACATTTTACCAGAATATTGTCCCCCTTGTTAAGCAAAGGAATAAATCCTGGCCTGCATTAACACACCTCCAGGGCACAACCAGAGTCTTCTGACAGAAAGACAGCAACTCCTTCTGAGATGATCTGGAATCTGTGGAATTAATGTCAGTTTGTGTTTTATGGGCAGATAAAACCCAGGGGACACACACATACAGGAGGAGGTGACATACTGAGAAACGGACACACGAGACGACCTGATATATAACCCTTAGTCCTTCCTTCCTTCCTTTTGAATTGAATTTCCCTCTCTTGAATTTCCCTTGGGATCTATCTATCTATCTATCTATCTATCTATCTATCTATCTATCTATCTATCTATCTATCTATCTATCTATCTTTTGGGAATGCCTAGGATGCATTAACATCTCTAATTGCTAAGAATGGATCGAACTGTATGTGTCTGTGTTTGTATGGGTGTATATTATGTGTGTGTGACAGGTGAAGAGGACCAGTGTAAAGCTTATTTAAAGTCCACATGGAACAGAAATCAGAGAGCTGTTTGCTTCTGCATATTATTCAGCATATTTCCTGTAAAACCCAGCAGTTAGGGAGGGATTTGTCGCAGTAACCAATAGCGCTGTGTGTTACATCATTCCAGCAGCTGTAGTGGAGATATTAGCTCTGTTGGACTGGGAGCTCTCAGTGAACAGCACGTCCAGACCGGGACTGAATGCAGAATAAGATGCCGACAGAGATGTGTGTACAGACATCAGTGAGGTCCAGTCCCCACAAATACTCAGCTTCTGTAGCTAACCATGCTGTTATCTAGTTTGCTAACTAAGCTGAACTGAAGAAATTGATATGTTATGATATATTGGTTGTAATTGGTTAGTTTATGCTTACGTAAGCACACACCACATTTTGTTTTACAGGAAAAAAAATTATTGGATATGGATATAAAAATACAAAGACACACTATTAGAATGTTGAATAGGGATGCAGATGCAATTTTAAGGGTTAATAAGTAATTTTTCATTTCATCTAGATTTCAAAGGGTTGATGTTACAGCAATAAAACCACATTAAAAGATTGTGTGCTAAAAATGGAGGAGGGGTTGATCAAGCCAGTTGGAGATATATATACATACATGTATATATAAAGAGAGGCACATGAGAGGATCATGAGAGAGACAGATGAGCAGCAGAGATAAACAAACAGAGGCAGCTGGTGAGAGGAGTTGAAAAACCAAGATATGAAAGAGAGTCTGGTTTCTGAAATGGAGATACATGATATGTGGGTTCAGAGGCAGTGGTGCAGTGATGTCTGGGTAAGTGGGGTTTACTGTGGCTTCCATCCCTACATGAAAACAAACCCATGTTTGCACTTGACCCCTAAAACCCCCAGCAGTGCTTCCCCTTCTAACTTGTAACTGTTATTGGTGTCATCCTCATCAGACAGTTTCATCATCAAACTTAAAGGTCCAGTGTGTAACATTTAGGAGGTTCTATTGTCAGAAATGGAATATAATATTCATAGGTATGTATTCATTAGAGTATAATCATCTGAAAATAGAAATCATTGTGTGTTTGTTACCTTAGAATGAGCTATTTTTATCTACAGAGGGAGTGGGTCCTCTTCTACAGAGTCCGCCATGTTGAACTGCCATGTTTCTCCATAAAATCGGCTTATTCTAAGGTAAAGAAAACACAATAGTACTAGTTGACA